GAGGCAGAACCACCCTGCTTGCCGTTGACGCCTTTCTTCTGTTCTCAGCGCCATTGCCTACAACTAGCTGCAATACGCTACTTGTGTGCAAAGTTTGGGTTCTGGTGCGGTGCAACCTGCACAGCCTCGACAACGCTTAACATTCTTCTATTTTTGATCGCTGAATTGATTCCGATTATGACCCCCTTCGTTGACTTTTTTTCGCTCGTCGGCGTTCAGGCCACAATCATGTGTCACAAATTAGTCTCAGGGAGAAATCTCAGAGATCGTTTTCAACGTAAACTGTACCCTGGAAGATTCATAGTAAAGAGGGTGACCAACCCCTGGCAGTGGCCAAAATTCTAAAGAAATGGACTGGAAATTGAGAAGCATGTTCACTCACATCTGTGAAACGGTACGCATCTTCAGCAGTGCATTCGGCTTTGTTAGTCGGATTCGACAGTGCAAAAATAATTGGCCGTTGATTGATCTTAGCCATTTCGCGAATAATCTCCTCAGTGAACGCTCCACCAACCGTTGAAGCACCTTAAGCGACTGATCAATTAACGAGAGGACTCAGGAAAAATCAAAATTGTAGTGAGATTTTAATTGTATTGAACCTAGTCTACCAAGGCTTGTTCATTTATATAAAACACATCGACTGGATGATTGGGTGGTGGATCCTCTCAGGCTACCTACAACTTGTTTTACTACTAATTAGGTCTAGAAACCATAATGAATTAAGAGGCTAGTTGAACTACAGGTTGAAACTGATGTCCTTTCACGGCCCTTTGTAGAATAGGTAGGAGGATACAATTACTTAGCTAGGATGGGATTTGATGGACTGTATGATCATGTGGCAATGGTCTGATCAGTCTTGCCCGTCTCTATTGCCAAAACTCGATGTCGCCAAACCAGCAAGATATCTCTTTTTCATTTTAGGCCCTAGTTATATTGTTTGGATTAAATTTCTCTGTTTCCTTTCATTCGTTTAGTTCAGATCGAGCTCCCATGTATCTGCCATTTGGCACGAGCATAGCGAAAACTAATTAAGTAAATCAGCAAATGAGTAGACATGGTGACAGAGAAAACTCATAATTACATATAACTTCAAGTGCGCACCTATTAGAGCCTCAGGCTTCACTGCACGGATCACTTCGAGCAAGCTTTTGGTATTCTCCATGTTCTAAATTTGCTGTAAATGTGATAGGGAGAGAGCAGGACTTCTTGATACTAAGCTCCAAAAAAAAAAGAAAAGGGAAACGAAAGCTCTGAAATTAGAGATACCTTAGCAAATTTCTTATGTCGATCAGTTAAAGATCTTCCACGACTTTCGGTAATCAGACCGCCAACGTCCATCATGTAAATTCGATCACACGCCTCCTTTTCAGTAAGGCCCTCGTCTATCATTTGTGTTACGCAAAGTTCCGCAACACCGAGACCAGCCTGAACAACAACAACTTTATTGTCAATTAGTTTTTGCCCTACAAGATAGAGATGGAAAGTCTTCGATATGCAAAGCTCGCACTCCATCAGAGCGGGCCCTTTGCCGGTTCTGCAGTCTGGGAACATCATCGAACGTGTTATTGACCAAAAACACATGAAGCATGTATGGTTCATGGGGAAGTTCAAAGAGCAAATCATCAGTGAATGGGACATGAACCCTTCGTCGGTACGTACCCGTGCTTAACCCTTTATAAAATTCCATATCTAAAGGAAGCTTCCATGTAGACAAAGACTACTGACTGGGCCGCGATTCCTTACTCTTATCGTGTTTAATCATGGAACTCTCAGACCATATAGACCCGCTCCACATGCGACAGAATCTCCTGCAACTTTTTTTCTGGAGAATACCACTCAGAGAAACTCTTACCGCACCGGCTCCAAGGAAGACCATTTTTTGCTCTGAAAGCTTTTTACCAGTCACTCGTGTCGTGGCCATTAATCCAGCTACAACCACGGCTGCAGTACCTGAAATCGGATCCAGGTTGTAATACAATCTCGCCTTACATATGAGCTTTCTTAACTTGGAAACTATAAAATATTCCGAATACCTTGAATATCGTCATTGAAGACACAGTACTCGTTTTTGTATCTGTCCAGAAGCATGAAGGCGTTTTCGAAAGCAAAGTCTTCGAATTGGATCAGTGTGTCCCTTCCAAACCTTAAAGGGAAAGTGCAATCCAAGCTACTCAGAGTTAGAAAACAGCTTTGAATTTGATTCTGGAATTCGCCACGTATTCTCCGTTCAGTCACTAGTTTTACCCAGAAGTGCCAAGTCATGCTGGAGGGTAGCCATTGGTTACCGGGCAGATTAACACCTCTCCTGACCCAGCTATACTTCTAAACCTAAAGCCTGATCATGTGATATGAAAATGTTTACGAGTATAAAATCATCCGTTTGGTCTTGAGAGACTACTGAGCGGAGAAACCTGTCAAACCTTTCCTCGATTCCGAGGGGTACTTCAGATGCATTCAATGTATGCTAGATAGTCCAATTCTAGTCTATAACCTACCTTTTCGTTGCTGCTTTCATGAAATTGTCAAGAAGCAGTTCATACTCCGGACCACGAACCCGTCGACGTCGTAATCCGATGTAAAATGGGTCGTCAAGTAGCTTCTGAAGTACTCGAGCCTGATCGAAATCCATATCCTTTTTGATCAAATTAAGCTATCACAAGTACAATACATAACCAAGACTAAGGTTGTATAATAACTTTTCGCCTGGTAAGAGGGCTTACCTGATTATCAGTGCCCACATCGATCACAACCGGCAAACACCACTGCGGTTGGACCCCCGCTAAAGCCACGTACAGGGCTAGCTTACCAACAGGAATACCCATACCATAAGCACCAAGATCTCCAAGTCCGAGAATGCGCTCGCCATCGGTCACCACGATAGCCTGAAAGAATAAAATGCCCAGTAGGAAAATTTGAAATTTAGAAATTAATCAATTGGATTGCTTATTTATGCATTCTATGTTGAAAGGGACATAAGTTAACATATAGAGGGAAGAGAAACCACAACTTTCTTTTTTGGGAGAGAAACTCTCTCTAAGAAAGAAGGAATAGCCAGCACCTACCGAAGCTCCATTTGATGGAGCAGCTGTTCCCATTTGCTAACACCGTTGGCTTATCTGATGACACAATTACTCAACTACGTCGAATGGGGTGGGAATACATCGCATAAGTTTTTTTTTCCAATAAACTTGGGTCGAAATCAGTGACCATGCTCGATCAGTGATAAAAATCTCACCTGCACTTCAGAGACGGGCCAGTTACAAAGGATTTGGTGAATTTTGCTGATGCTGTTGTCGTTGACAGTGATATATAGTCCTCTAAAACAAAGTATGCATACAGATGCATCAGAAGTTTTCTATGGAAAACAATAACTCAAATCAGGAGAAAATTCAAAAAAAAAAAAATCAAATTCAGGCTGCAAGAGAATAGTGGTGAGAGGGGCTTATCCATTGAGAATTCCTTACGAAATCCTTCGATCCCATCTTTATCTAGTGAGTCTTCCTAACTTGTGGTAACTAGTGCGTCAAGGTGTAACGTTAGGACCATGACATGTCTGGGAGCTTGAGATAATTTAGAGAATTCTGATTCGATGAGTTTCTCGATGGAGTGTAGAAATCTGAAGCCCTACTCTGCACGGGAGATCACTCAATAAATTTTGCCCCTCTCCTGGTCCGGACACTGAATAGCTGGATTGTGTCACATGATCCATAAAGCGGATCTTGGCAGTCCATCTGAAAAAAATAAAAAAAAGAATTAATATAGTAAACATAACCGACTTCGGATGACGATAGATGGCTCCGAATTTCTGACAAGCAAGTCCGACAGTTGGTGTATACACAATCGGCATGAGCTCCTTGACATTGTCGCAGAGTACGCGATAGTAGAGCTTTTCGGTACGATCTTGCAACTCGTCCAACTGTATGTATCTGGAACAGAGAATTAAGCTTACTTCGAGAAAAGTAAAGTGACGAACTTCTCAGTCAAGTGAACAACTCACTTGGCCAAATTGTCATCCGTTTCTCGAATTTTTGTCATAACACGGTAGGCTTGCTGCTCTTCGGTCATGAACGCTGGTGGAAGAAGACCATGAATGCCAAGATATTGTCTTTCGTAAAGTGAGAATGCCATTCCCTACAACACAAGACTTTGTCTAAAAGTATGGTAAAATAACGTTTCAACTTTGTTTGGGAACTCTGCCGTAAATTATCTCGAAATTGAAGATCTTTGTAGCTTACCTTATTCAACCTGGGATTTTTCAGGAGGTCATAGCCTTTTTCCCTTGGTGTTATGCGTTCAGGACGGTAGAGTTTGTGAAGCGCCACTTGCTTGGGATCATTGAAGTCAATTTCTTTGCGTTGAATTGGTGACAGCGTTAATTGTCGTCTACATATTGTGAAGCTGAAAACAAAAATCGTTTTTTTTTCCGGCCATATAGATGAATTCATCAAAACAATGAATAAAATAGTAAGGACTGCGAATGGCGCAGAACATAAAGGAAAAGCTTCAGAAAAGTTATTAGGTGTAGAATGATTTCTTGGTTTGAACCTCAAAACCACGTCGGGGCATAAGTTTCCGTGATCACTAGAAATTTCATTTCCTCTCTTTCGCATTGAAAAAATTATTCCTCACTCTGACTAAGGACATCTTTCATTTATCTCTCACCAACATTTTTAACACATCAATTTACCTTTTTTTAACAAACATCTAATTTTTATCCTTCAGTGAGAAGTTGAAAAATTGAATTGAAAGTGGAATTGAAAACTATTTTCTCAGCACCTAAAAAATTACGAGAATCTCACAATTTTGACGCGTTGTGGACAAAATTTCGGCTTTGGACGGAAATCGAATCCGTACTTGTGTTATCGGGGCAACGTACTCTTATTAATTACGAGAATGTTTGGCTCATGCCATGTGAGTTAGGTTCTGAACGGTGGTACGATTTTGCAACCGCTATGACACTTCCTGACCCACTTACAATCAGTGGTAGTCTAGAAATGTGACAAGGCATTCGATAGATGCGATATATCGATAATGGTTTATTAGATGATATGATGTATGCACCCTAAAATTCCATAGATAAGAGCTGTTGAAACTACCGGTGAAAAATGGATTGGGATGAAATTGAAATTGAATGTAGGCACCCTCTAACTTGATGGATGGATAAATTAATTTTCGAAGAAGAAGTTAAGAAGAAGCTCCGCCCCTTAACTCCAAACCCCGCCCACTTAATAAACAATTCATATAGAAAAATNATTTTTCTATATGAATTGTTTATTAAGTGGGCGGGGTTTGGAGTTAAGGGGCGGAGCTTCTTCTTAACTTCTTCTTCGAAAATTAATTTATCCATCCATCAAGTTAGAGGGTGACTGCATTCAATTTCAATTTCATTCCAATTCATTTTTCACCCGTAGTTTCAATCGCTCTTATCTATGGAATTAGGGTACTATGTAAATGCAATAACCTAGTAGATAACTCACAGTTGCCCGTTGTGAATGCGAAGCATTGGCAGTTCTCACCTGAAACGAATAGAACTTCGAGGTTTTTCATTTCTAAAACAACTCCCTCCAAACGAAGCTGCTTAGCAACCAAATAAGTCTTAGGGATGATTGAAGTAGGAGAAAAGCATTGAATAAAGTGAGGAAGAAAGAGCTCCAACGAAGATTGCTCCGAGACGACCTTAGAAATGCAAGAATCGAATAAACATTAACAAAGGGGAAGGCAGAAATATAGCAGCTTTTCCAGTGAACATCCTTATAGCCAGGAGATGTAAGAGCGCTTATTTGTAGACCTAACTTTTAGAACAAGCTGGCAAGATTAGCAGCGGCAGCTTGCTTCGAAATACATATTCTGCCTAGAAGAAGGAACTCTACCATCCCTTGCGATTCATACTCTTCCATCATACAACTCGGGTAAATGAAATCAGGCACTTCAACAAAATCCAGAGCACCACCCTTTCTAATGGAGCAAAGTGTATGGAGCATTCTCAGCGAAAGATCACCTGTATTTTTCAGTGATCTGCGGTGCATGGAGAATTGTTTGAATTATGCGCCTTTGCCTACGATTTCGTGAATTGTTTTCAACTATGTGGAACAGTTTTCATTGGCAAATTCCATTAATTTCATTCGTGTTCAATGGGCTTTAGCTCTCCCTTTGTAGAACACATTGCTCGTCAACATGAAATGCACCAGGCATTGCACCTACCTTTACCTAATGTCGTAATTATTGAGAGCGCATTTGTTCGATCTGAAAATGTGCAAGCCCAACTAACCGATCCCTGTCGATTAGAGAACTCCGTGATCAGGTTATGGGCTCCAGGGCAATGCACATATTCGCTAGCTGCTGTGCATGTTCCAGCTCCACTCTCAGTCTTTCCTGTTCATAAAAAATAGGAAGCGCAGAATTGGCTTATGTCCTCAATGCCTAACGAGGCGTGTCCCCATCCATTACTATCAGTTTACTATCAGACATCAACGTCTTTCTACAAGCTGAAGCTCGAGCACAGACAGATGTTTTCGTTCCCTTGGGTAACGAAAACACTTACCAACCACTTATCCGTTATAAGCACGGATAATTTAGTCAGACCAAGCACGTTAACGACAAGTATGTGACACTTTGAGAAAAAAGAACATTGAGAACAAGAGCAGTGGAGCAGAATGTCTTGTTGTTTGTTCTTCCTGGAAGTTTTTTTTCTCGAGAAATGGAGAATTTTTCATTTCTGGAGCTATGAAAGGAAGAAATAAAAGAGAATCAGTTTGGAGACGAAAAAAAAANAAAAAAAAACAGAATCAGAATCAACTAAAATTGCCAGTACCAACGACCGACGAGTCAATCCTACTTTTTGTCAGCTTAGAGCCTCAACCATAGGCAAACTCGTGAACGTTGTGAGTATTCTAATTGAAGGCATTCAATCGAAATTAGCATAGTTGATATGAATGAGCTCTCTCTTCTTCTTTGAATGAGTTCATCCTACTCAAAATCCAATCTTATATTTAATAATCCTGTTAATATCTCAAATTTTAAGCTTTTGCCAGAGCCTGGAAAAGTCAGGGAATCGAATGTGGCACTGTAAGTAACGCAAGTCCCCTCCAATACACAAATGAACTCTGATGATGAGACTTTAGTCGGACAATAGGTTCGTTAGCGGGAGCTGACTGGTGGAAGAATTCACACAACTCTTTGATTACTATTTATGTCGAACACCTGACGAAAAAGAAAGGATTGCGATGTAATAACGATAATAGGGACAGTGATAATGAGTAAGCATAAGGATAAAAGGATAAAAACTTAGGGAGCTAATCAATCTCTTCAGGGAGTACACCCCCCGTATTTGACTTCCACTGAATGCGTATGTGGCCCATACAATGACTTGCAGTGGCCAGCCGATGTTCAACTCAGTGCTTTTATCCTCCTAGGCGAGTACTAAAGTCCAAATCAACCGATACCGGAGGCATGGGAGGCTTGGCTGTCCTTGGCGGATATCGATCCGGAATTCGAACCAGTGGCCATGTGTATAATATAGTTTGCCCTTCACCACTTCCGCCCTTGATAATGTGTAATATCATATAATAAAATGTCTTTCGCTGAGACACAGTTAGAAAAAATTAGGCTAACATGGTCGTTTGGTTATTGATGCATTGGTTGGGTTGAGAAAGAAAACCGAAGCGAAAGAAGAAAAGTAGGCTGACCAACGGACAGGTCTATGAGGAGTTGCTATGAGCAAATCTGAAAATCGAAAGCCCCGTTCCCATGAGATATATGCGACACTGCCAAAAAAACGGCGCATCGAAGCCTACATGGAAGCATGTTTTCAAGCCTGGCGTAGTATGTAGAGTGCAGCAGTTCCCTTTTAGGAACATAACAAGCTGATTTGCTCTTCAGTTCCCACAACGCTGAAATGAACTCTAAAAATAGCCTGCTTTTGAGAGCTAGTAATTAGTATCAGGCCGTTGGTACAGCTCTTCTGCCTCCTTTTTAACCGGCCCAACATTTCACCACTGCGATCAGACTGATTGGCCTTGGACTGATTTGGAAGAAGTAGGCTGCGCCTGGACATTGGCCTTCAGGAAAGGTGTATTTAAGCCATATACGGCTTCCAGAGCCTCTGTGATTCTGAAACTATAACTAGATCAGGGAGTACCCCTGATATTAGCTCATCAACGACTGATTTGCTTCAGTAGGACTTCAGTTCTCAATATGGCTATCAGGCAATTTTTCGCTTTATACACTACATACTTTTTCGTTTCCCTTGGGAGTACGCATCATTGACAAGCCTTTTATTATCGCGTATTCCCCATAACAAGTCTTATTCTTTCAAAACACTAATATTGAAATGTATGAAAATATGATTTATATGGGTGGCTAGTGATTTCATAATAGAAAAAAAGTTCAGCTGAAGACATTCGCTTCTATCAGAGACAATTCATACTAATTTGAGTTCCTTTCAATCTCGCACTTGACTGACAAGGTTTTCTAAACTCAGCTGAAGTCGTCAAAGCGCTGATGACGCGTGGTTGTTGATGCGTATGTGCTTTCTTTCTTAGAATTGTGAAAACTTAATGCTATCAAGTAACAAGGTAGGCTACAAGCCGATAAGTCTATACGTAAAGTGGTACTGGTTTTCGAGCTGTTGAAACGGACAGAAAAGGAAACAACAAAAGGGAATTCCTTATACGTGTACGGATGAAAAGATGAAAAGTTAGGTCTCAAGCGGAAGTTCCGCTCCTACATTTACCCCTTGATTCCCCTGTGCCACTTATTCTGAAACCCTACCCCTAATTAGTACCCTTCAGGTGAAACTATGTGAGAGAGGGTCCGTTCGTAAGACTGGCTCAGGATTTTCTAGACAGTAAACAGTAAGTAATTAATTTGACGACAAAGATGGCAATAGTATGTCATTTTCGTCGAATTAATTACTATTTACTTGTTTGGAAATGTGCCAGCTTGCTACAAACAAGTCTTAGCGATAATCCCCAGCCATTATTGATTTGCAAATAGGATTGGATAGGAAAGGGTGTTGACGAGCTCAGTACGATTAGGGGGATACAAAATAGAATAAATCTTCCCTACAAACAATTTCCGTTGCCATGATACGTGTGGGTTAATGCTAGCAGTATTGATTAAGAAGGGCATGGTAAGGACGGCTTTGCAGAAATTCCCATTCAGAAACATTTTCGGCTAAAAAAAANNAAAAAAAAACGAGCGCCTCGTCGGGAGCCTGTCGACGGTGCCAGCTAACGAAGGGCACGACGTGCTGCTTGGCGAATATGCCACTAGGGTAGCATTTCCTAGAGTTCGGTTTCTCATTAGTTATTCTGCACTTGTTCTCGCTGCTGTGAAAATGCCGGCTGGGGCAAGACTCTCGGGAAGGATTTATCAAAAATAGAATCTTTAATTATATTAGGCCTGCCATGCATCTGTTTTCGGACCACAATCAAATGAGGCCTCA